AAAAAATATTTACAAGGATTAAACATTTAAAATACCTGGAGACACTTTAATCAAGAAGAGATGCAGTTCTATTTCCATAAAAATGAGAAAGGGAAATACTTCCCTCTTTGGGTCTGGATAATTGTAATAACATAAAACCATCAGGCTTTGACTTGTCAAATTGTTGTTGGTTTATTTTATAATGTATGCATGCATTCATTTTTGTCACCATTGCAATTTAAAACACATGGTTTATGTGTGAATTTCTAATTACAAAGTGAAAGTAATACATTGCAAATCATTTAAACGCTTAAACATGAAACAAAGACAACCTGTGCAATGAAGATGTAGCAAAAACTGAGCTAGACAGGATTTCTGCACAGCATGCAAGTTAATATTTATTGTTTAATAACAAATTTAATACCATGCAACAACCTCTAGTAGACTATATATATATATAGTTTTCGTTTTTAATGGAAGAAGTCTCATTGAGAGAGTCTTGAAAGCAAAAATCTAATTTTCAAGAGAGAACTGATCAAGAAGGCAACAAAACATACCAGTATGTGTAAAAATAAAAATAGAAAAACAATTGTGAGCAAGAGATCTGTTCTTCCTCTTTTAAAATGGATTTCAACTCCCTCGTGGTATCCGAATCTGACAGCGTCAGCGACATCTTTGAAAGGCTTTCCAGGCAGCATGGATAAAATAAAATACCTGCCGTAAAGATAAGGCACTTATCAATGCTGTCAAACAACGCCGACCTTCGTCACACAGAGAGAGAAAGGGAAAGAGAGAAGGCATTTTGACCTCTAAATGTGCTCAGACATGACAGTTCAACACATCACATCTTATTTTGTACCCACAGTTGAGCCTAAGCAACGTCTACGTTTATATATGTTTAAAGAATACACAGTTCACTATGAAACTGTGTATACAGACGGTGTTTGATGATGTGCCGCATCATCACTTTATTTTAATCACTGCAGCAGCCATGAATCTAAAACATTCATCAAGTCCTGCTTCAGATAAGCTTCAGCTGCTCAGCTCTTTGGGGCTTTGAGACACAGCTGTCCCACAGCTGTGTCCAGTCTTTGAATATTGTAACAACATGCAGAATGGTTTGACACCGTCTTGCTGAAACATACAAAGTCTTATCCCCGGAAAACGGACACACTCACAAATACACGAGTTATAGCCTCCCCAGGACGTGTGCACAAATATGTCAGTATCGTTACAGATGCAGATGTTTGTACCGCACGATAACAACTAGAATCATCCAGAGTCTCTGAAAAATCCCAGCCTTGTCTCAAAAAAACAAGGTCAAAGTCTCTTTATTTGTCGAAATTATGTACACAGGGTCCCAGTTACATCCAACAAAAGTATAAATTGTAAAGAAAAACAGTAATAAAATCTAATATATGAACTAAAAAAAATACACTAAACTAAGAATACACTAAGCACTAATAGTACAAAAACAATACGCTGAACAGCTGCACGAACATGAATCTGTATGAGCAGTTGTATATGAATGAACACAGCAGCAACAAATCAGCAGCATGAGATCAGCAGCATGGCTAGTCAGCAGCACACATCAGCAAAAAAATGGTATGTGACTTTTTTCACAGTGATTATCCTGATTTAGAGATTCATGAGTCTAACAGCTTCAGGGTAGAAGCTGTTCCTCAGTCTAGTGGTTCTACACTTAATGCTCATCAACCTCTTTCCTGAGGGGAGCGGGGCAAAAAGTGTGTGTGCTGGGTGAGTGGGGTCCTTCATGATGCAGGTGGCCCTATTCCTGCATCTCGAGGTGAAGGTGGGGAGTTTGACTCCAACAGATTTCTGTGCAGCCTTCACCACTCTCTGCAAAGCTTTTCTTTCTGCAGCTGTGCAGCCTCCATGCCACACGTTGATGCTGGAGCACAGGATGCTCTCCACTGCACACCTGTAGAAGGAGGTGAGGACTGAGCTTCCCAGACCAGCTCATCTTAGCCACATGAGGAAGTAGAGTCTCTGATGAGCTTTCTTGATCAGGCTGGTAGTGTTGTTGCTCCAGCTCAGGTTGTCATTCAGGTGCTCACCCAAGTACTTGTAGCTGGAGACCACTTCCACCGCAGATCCTCCAATGTTGGGGGGTGTGGGGGTGTAGGTGTGTTTGTTCCTTCTGAAATCCACGACCATCTCCTTTGTCTTCACATTGATGTGAAGGTTGTTCTTCCTACACCATCTCTCCAGGTGTTTCACCTCCTGCCTGTAGCTGGACTCGTTGTTTGTGATGCATCCCACCACCGCTGTATCATCTGCAAACTTTACAATGTGACTGCCTGGATGGGTAGCTGCACAATCATACGTGAGCAGAGTGAACGGGGGGGGGGGGGCGGCACGCAGCCCTGGTATGGTAAATGGACAGTACTTATATAGCACCTTTCTATCATATCAAGATCAAAGCACTTTACACTACAATCTGTGTCCTCATTTACCCATTCATACAGCGCTCTACTAGATCTATACAGAGATTAATCAATGCTTCATCACATTCATACACCGATGGGACACACATCTGCAATGAGGGGTTCAGTGTCTTGTCTAGGGACACTTCAGCATGTGACTGCTGGTGGAATTGAACCCCCCACTCTCGCATTGGAGGACGACTGCTCTAACCATTCAGCCACAGCTGCCATATGCAAAATAGTCCATGTTTTCACAATGCAGCAGTTTTAGTCACATTTTGCTGTGCGACACAAGTGTTTCCTGTCCTGTAGTTTAATTTCTCTCCCTGCTCAGCCATTTTAAAGGTCATCTTAAATAGCACGGCACAATCCATAAATGCTGAAACTGAAAGCCCAAGCATTCCTCGAAGGAATGCATATTGCGCACTGCTTCTTTCCAGAGTTTTAACCCAAATTCTTCTTATATTTACAAATGAATGACAGTTGTTTGGATTAAACACCAAGTTTTAGCTCAAAATCTGTAAAAATTACAAAAGTATTGCCTTTTTGGGGGTTTTCCAAGGCCATTTAACTGTGTCCGCCATCTTAAATTAGGTTGGCTCCACAAGTGAAATGATCTTTTTACAGTTACTGATGTGCATGCAAAAAATTAGGTACCTCATGCTCAATTACTAATTAATAACATTTTTGTATAACCAAGAACTGAGATCACAGACCTCTTTTACAATTCAGGCCTGAAGGCGGCCAAAGGTGCATGTTTTTGGACTGTGGGAGGAAACCAGAGTACTTGGAGAAAATCTACAGAAACATGGGGAGAACATGAAAACTCCACACAAAAAGACCCCAGGTCCAAACTGGGGACTGAACAAAGGACCCTCATGCTGTGAGACAACAGTGCTAACCACTGTTCCATCAGTGCTGCCAAAATGTTTCATAGCTATCACTATTCAGGTCAACATCGAACTCTAGTATTTTGGTCCTTTACACCTGTTTTTTTTTTTTATTAACTTTTTATACAAACATATTTATAAACGAGTTTTACTAGTATTTTATGTTGTGAGGGCAAAATATTGTAAACTTGCAATGTTGCTGGGTGTCTGAATGACCCCAGAATTCAACTGAAACATAGGTAGATATGAACATTAAGTGTGGATTTAAATTGTGAACACAAGGGTGAAGAACTTTATTGCTCTCACAGGAAATTGTTGTCCCAGCGTTTCAATACAACAGAACATACACAAGGAATCACACAAGATAAAATAACAGATAATTAATTTTATTGTCCTGTGTGCAGAAAGGGGAGGAGTTGAAAAGTTTGATAGAATCAGAATCAGAATAAACTTTAGTATCATTGCACCGAGATACAATGTGAACAACACCACAGGGAGGAAGGACTTCCTGTGTCCTGTGGAGCAGCTCGGTGGTCTCAGTCTACGACTGAAGGTGCTGTGTTGAGTCCAGTGTGACATGCAGGGGGTGTGACGTGTTGTTCAGGATCTGGAGCAGTTTCCTCAGCATCCTCTGCTCAGACACCTCTGTCAGAGACTGCAGCTCCACTCCCAGAACTGAGCCAGCTCTCTTGATGAGCTTATCTAGTCTGTTGGCATCAGCTTTCTTCACCCTGCTGCCCCTGAACACCACAGTGTAGAAGAAGATGCTGGAGACCACAGAGTGGTAAAACATCTGCAGCATGGTCCTGCAGATGTTAAAAGACCTGAGTCTCCTCAGAAGAAAAAGGCGACTCTGCCCTTTCTTGTAGAGGATGTTGGTGTTAGCTGTCCTGTCCAGTTTATTGTCTAGGTGGACCCCCAGGTACTTGTAGCAGTTCACGATATACAAATGATTAAGGGTTTGAGCTAAATCACAGTGCAGGGTGTCATCCAGTCATAAGGGCGTAAAAAGATGTAAAATGGAAATAAGTTATTATCATTGCTACGAGGTCTTGATCGCTCAGATTTTTTTCTCAACATTTGGCCCTGAAATAGACGTTCTCTGAACCTTACTGGTTTTACAAGAACCATAAATGTCCTTCACTTTTTTGTTTTTTTGAATAAATCCCGTTGATGCTTTTTTATATCCAATCATGTCACTCATGGTTTCCTTTTAATCCTCCAGCAGTTTTGTTTTAGTTACTTTTTCTTTAGTTTCAGGCTGCAGATTAATTTTTTTTCTCCATGTTTTGATGTTAGCTTCTGTATTTCCTATTAGTTCATTACATCTATGTAATTGCATTGCTTTGGTGTTGCATTTTGTTCTAGTTACTATGATTTATAGGTTTGTTCATATTGTCATGAGAAAATGTGGTTTGTAGAAGTTTACTCTTCGTGCTAGATGTCCTGCTATGTTTGTCAGTGTTTTAATCCCTCCACCTCAGGGAAAAAGGACATTCTGTCTGTGTTTTGCTTCCATCTGATGTGTCATACTCATTTACAAGCTGTTTATATTTCTCTCACAGTCCAGCTGTCTGTTGATGATCTACATCCACTTTAATGCTCTTCACTCAACTGCTTGGACCCGTGCTGATTCCCTCCTTCTGCTTTTTTTCTTGCTGCCAGTTCTAATGTTTGCAGTGGGTGAAGAAAATGTTTCTTCCCCCGGCAGAAGATGAACTCCTCTCTGTGTGACCCTGCAGTCACCATGTACGATGTGGTGGGAAACCATCAACCTAACGACAGCTGCAACGGCTCCTCTGGCGTTTCCAACTGGACCTCTGGAGAAGACACCCCTCAGCTGCCCACGTTCACCACCGCAGCCAAAATCAGAGTGATCATCACCTTTATTCTCTGCGGCGTGTCGGCCTTTTGCAATCTGGCTATGCTGTGGGCAGCACACAACGATGGGAAACGCAAATCCCACATCAAAATGCTTATCATCCACCTGACGGTGGCTGATCTGCTGGTGACCTTCATTGTGATGCCTGTGGATGCCGTGTGGAATATCACAGTCCAGTGGCTCGCCGGGGACTTTGTGTGCAGGCTTCTGATGTTCCTGAAGCTGCTGGCGATGTACTCCTGCGCTTTTGTCACTGTGGTGATAAGTCTGGACCGGCAGTCAGCCATCCTCAACCCTCTGGCAATCAATAAAGCCAGGATGAGGAACAGGGTAATGCTCACTGTGGCGTGGGGTATGAGCGTTGTGCTGTCAGTCCCCCAGGTAAGGTCGGTTGTTTCTTACTGAAAACAGGTCAGGACTCATTTTAACGCCCTTTTACCTCTAAACTATAATTACTGGAATCTAAGCAAGGCAAATGAATGAAAAGTGGCTTTCTTTCTTACAAGCTTAAAATAAATTTGTTAACATCAAACCTTATCCAGCAATTTAGCTCTGATTGTGATTAAAAAGCCATCTTAGTTGATTTCTTCGTGATTTTTCTATTCAATTCAACTTTTATTTATACAGGTTAGTCTTATTGAGTCTCCAGGACTCATTTACAAGAGAGACCTGTTGTAAACTAAAAGAAGGCATATAAATTGAAAAACAATAAATTGAAGAAAATTATCTAAAAAAAAAAAACCTCAGCTACATTATAAAGCAATATAAAATACTAAAAACAGGAACCTGTCTGCATTGGTTTTTCCCATGAACTTAATAGATGTTTGAAGCTAAGCCACTCACTTTGAAGTCCGCACTGAGGGAACACTGCATGTAATAATGGTCTGAGAGTGCATGCTATAGCTGCATTCATGCAGTGACATGTAGGAGGAGATGTATGAAGGCAACAGACCAAGAAGTGATTTAAAGATGAAAATGTGCCAGTGAGAGAGTCTGCATGAAGTTAATGATGACCAGACAACTAGTGAATACAGGGTGCAATGGTGGGTACAATAGTTACAGCCAGTTATGAATCTTAGCGCACCATGATAGACAACATCCAACATCTGCAGAGTGCTTGTAGGGGCGTTCATGTAAATGTGACGGTAGTCAATGTAGGGAAGGAAAGTCGCAGTTACAAGGCGTTTCCTTGCATTCAGAGTTGGACAGGATCTATTTCTGAAAATGAAAAAAGTTTCACTTTCAGTTGCTTTACCAAGTTTTCAATGCAGGGCTTGAGAGAGATGCGAATCGACCAAAATACCCAAGTATTTATAGGAATTGACAAACTCAATAGGAACACCATTCTAAGATAAAATCGAGGGAAGGACTGCTGGGACAGACTTCCTGTTTAAAAACAACATCCGTTTGGTTTTGTCTGCATTTAATACAAGTTTGAGATGGAACAAATCAGACTGGATGATGTCAAAAGCAGACTGCAAAAGCTTAGCAACTGTTTTAGCTTGACAGGAAATAATTGTATCATCAGCATAGGATGCATCAGGGGTGATCTAACCTACATTATCTATGCAGGTTGTGAAGAGGGTGGGACCTAAGACAGAACCTTGTGGTACACCATTTAACAGATAACTGGAAGAAGTACTATTAAGTTTAACACATTGCCTCCGTTCTGAGAGATAGTTAGTGAACCAGCCAATGGTATGAACTGAGAAACCAATTTCTGAGAACTTATGACATAAGATGTCATGATCCACAGTGTCAATTAATTAATTGATTAATAAGAATGAGCATTTTATAAAGTGAATTTCCTGTTTGGAGTATGTCTGTAATCTGACTCTTTAAGCATCTTGCTCACATTCATGGTCAGTGAGCTGTAAACCTGGAAAACTTTTGGAATTAGTCTCAGATAATCTCACTGGACAGAAAATGAATAATCTAAATATAGTTCATCTCTCTCCTCAGATCTTTCTTTTTCACAGTGTAACCATCGTTCACCCAGAGGACTTCACCCAGTGCACAACGCGGGGAAGCTTCGTCACTCGCTGGCATGAAACGACCTACAACATGTTCACGTTCTCTTGTCTCTTCCTGCTGCCGCTGATCATCATGATCACCTGTTACAGCAGGATATTCCATGAGATCTCCAAACGACTGAGAAAGGACAATTGTAAGTTGGTGAAATAAATTAAAGCTCCCCAGAGGATAAATCCTTCCACCACTTGAACTATTGTTTTAAATATTGGATCTAAAGATCTAAAACCTAAAATGAATTGGCACCAGTCAGCACATTACATAGACCATCTATAATGTACAAGTAGTCTCTGGTTTGGGGCCTACTGTTGTAAAGCTTCAATATAATTTTAGTTTAACCTTTAACTATAATCAGTGCTGACACTTCTCATCAGTATTCTCCCACAACCTTGGTTTTAGTTGTCTTTTATTTATATTTGCTTGAAAATTTGAAGAATATTTAAAGCAGGTTTAACATTTTTTTAATCATCATACACACTTGTAAAGGCTTTGTTATGCCTTTTAGTGAAAAGTTAAATACAGTTTTAAGTCAGAAGGCCTAGCTTTTCTTGAAGCACTGCATGTTTTGGGGGAGTGGTGGCGCAGAGGTTAGAGAGGTGGGCCTGTGATCCGAAGATCGTCGGTTCACGCCCCAGCCCCGACAACATCAAAATTGTGGGTGGGGTAGGTGAAACACTCACACCTGCCCCCACCCTCATTCGCCCCACTCTGGGCCCATGAGCAAGGCCCTTAACCCCCACCATGTGCTCCCTAAACAGGTCTCTCTTGAAAATGAGTTCTCGTGGCTCAATGAGACTACCTGGATAAATAAAGGCTAAATGAAAAAAAATAAAATAAATGTTGCCCACTATCTGCCCATTGTCTTGAAACAAAAATGGCATTTTAGCCTTTTTGGTCAAATGTTGAAAACAAAGTTAGGCACAATTGCACAGTGATTAGTTAGTGCTCAGATTATGTGTTGGGGATAACTCTCAGCTACTACTGCAACAAATTTTTGCCTTTTTTTGGCAGAAAATAATAGAATTATTGCCAATTTTGAGTTTGTTGAGGTCAAGTAGCTGTGGTCAGCCATTTTGAATTGGGTTGACTCCTAAAGTTGATCAGTTGAGGATGATCCAAATATTACTTCCTGACAATTTCAATAAAATCTGACCAGTAGATATTTTGCTAAAACAGATTTATCCTTTTATATTAAATTCTCAAACAGCCTAACCTTTTGTTTGTTATCTGATCTGTTCCCAGTGCCGTCCACTGAAGTGCACTTGAGATGTTCCAAAAATAACATCCCCAAAGCCCGGATGAGAACTCTAAAAATGAGCGTTGTGATCGTTTTGTCGTTCATTATTTGTTGGACTCCGTACTACCTGCTGGGTCTGTGGTACTGGTTCTTTCCTGAAGACCTGGAGGATAAGGTGTCCCACTCCCTGACCCACATCCTGTTCATCTTCGGGCTCCTCAATGCCTGCCTGGACCCAGTGATCTATGGCCTGTTCACCATTCACTTCCGAAAGGGGCTCCGGAGATATTACGGCAACGCTACCTCGGCAATGGACGCAGAAAACAATACCGTTACAACCGGATCTTTCACCTGTGCTGCCAATTCTTTGTCCCTTAAACGAGAGCTCAGACGTGCCAGCCAGGAAAGACTGATGCTTCATAGCGACAGCTGCAGAGCGAAGCCATCGTCTTCGAGGAACAGTTTTCTGATAGACAGCAACGATGCAATAAGAGATCCCAACCAGCCCAACCCTGAGAGCATCTTATGATAGCTCTACAGAAAACAGACATCGAGCAGGTTTTTCATCATTTATGTGATTCTGGTAAATATCTTGAATCTGTCAGTCTGTATGTGAGAATGATGGACCACTATGCTCATCTACTGATGGTCAAAAGATCAGAGGCAAAATTACAACATGTGCTGCCGTAGATAGGGAGGGATCAGTGCTGGAAAGGACTATAATGTAATTTCATCATGGATCTCCTTTACAAGCACACTTTTATATTTGCATTATTATAATAATCCTCAGGTCTTCATGTAAAACAGCGTTATTCAGTGTATAGAAGTACGAGATGAAGAAGAGTATTGGGAAGGTGATTAAACCAGAACACATTAACACAGAGTGGAATTAGACCAACATTTCTTGAGATCTGAAAAACAGATGCTTTGACAGAGAAACACCCACATCTGCTCTGCTGAAAAAAGAGATCCGAATCACATCAGCGGGTTAAAAAGTAGGAAGGGTTTGTTTATGACCACATAGTAATTAAATGTCCAAACCTTTCTAAACTCGGCCAAGTTACAAAAGATATAAGTGACACTAAAAGTAGTATCTTACATGGGCTGTGACTTTTGGAGACTAGTTGGGGACTAAAAATCAAACTAATCTGGTGACAAAATGTGCAAATTTTCAGCTGCAATCCCACCAACTTTTGAGTACAGTAGTCCCTCACTTATCATGGGGGTTATGTTCCAGACACCCCCGCGATAGCGACATTATATTTATTTTAGTATTTATATATATAAAGGTTTTATAAACCCTTCCCACACTCTTGCAATGTTCTTAATAATGTTCTAAACTCTCTAAACGCTCTAAAAGAGCACAATGAAAGAGAGCAGACAGACTGATACTATGGTTACTGAGCCAATCAGCGCCTGGGGGCGGACTGGTCATCAAGGGCACTGGGACATTTACCTGGCCCGCTCAGTGATCGCAGAGGGGGACTAAAGGCTCAAGACTAAAGGTTCGGGTCACGCTTGATTATTTTAAATAAACAATCCATGCCGTTTGTGCGACCCACTCAGGTATAAGACAGACTCCACCCCCTCCTTTCTTTTTACCAGGCTGTCTGTCACAGCAGAACAGAGGCACACAACAGGCGGGCACACAACAGGCGGGCACACAACGTTTCCGCTCAACTGTGACAGCCAGCCTCAGAAAGAGAACGGAGGGGGCGGGGGGGGGGGGGGGGTTGTCTTATACCTGAATGAGCCACACTCAGCCACTCTCTCTTTAAAA